ATGTAGTGGGTCATAACCACTGGTTTCATAAGCCGAAATAAGATAACAGAAAATATCAGAATGCATTACCTGTAATGAAGATATTGTTTTGTGAAACTTATAAAGTGTGCATGTGTGTGTGGTGTGTGCATGTGTGTCTACATATGCTGGGTTGTGATATAAAATGTACTGCTTCCCGTGTGCCATGCTAATCAAATTTGAAAGTCACAGTCACTAAGGTACTGTCAGCACTCATCTCAGAAAGGGAGTGAAAAAAAAAAAAAGAATGGGAGCGATGATGCAATTAAGTTTAACAATAGTTCTACTTTTTTCTTTGGAACATGTGACAGTGTTTATTGTAGCGAATTAGATCTTAATTATTTGTTTTCACCTAATATTAAAACAATCAATTAGCATTCCTGAAAATACAGAGAGAAAGCCTTTTAAAGAAGTTCAGAGGTTAAGAGCATAAACTGCTCAGATTGACCTAGGGTCAAATCCCAGCTACGCTGGTTATTTGTGTGTGACCTGGAACAAGATAGTGCTTCTCTCCTGATTTGTAAAGTGGGAGTTACCGGAACACCAGCCTTATAAGGCTGTTTGATATTCAGATGAGATAATGCGTGTGAAACTGTTGATTTAGTGCCTGCACAGATTAAGTACTCACTACAAGTTAGCTATTAAGACTGAATGGAGGTATCCAGGATAATTCTTGTCGCCAGAGGTAAACCCATAGAAGGTGGATAATCCATAAGAGGGGGAAATTGAAAATCGGTTAATAATGTTATAAGGAAAGGGACACTGAATTAAGATGGTCTTTTTATATCATTTAGCCATTGTGTTGTGACTGCTCCCCAATTGTTTTTCTATTGCTAGAAAAGTAATTTAGATTATCTTATTCAGTAGACCAAATGCCCTTCTATTGTCTTTGCTTATTTATTATTGAACTGATGTCTCTATTGTCAAGCAATTGAAAAATATTTCCCACAGGGATTCTGGGTTTTGTTAGCTCTTATTCAGTACCACTGTCAGCTTGAGAAACTCACACACTTATAATTCAAGGCACTTCAAAAATGTGTTTATTTATCTCTGCAGTAGGTAAAGATCTCAGGTATGCAAGAAATAATCCTAAAAAAAAAAGCACTTTATTTCTATTTTGTGACAGTTCTGCTGAAGTTATCTCAGGCATTTCAAAGATCTCTCTTCACTGCCCCAGATTGGTTTTGCAGTTTTAAATGTTACATAAACCAATGAAATAAGAGTGTAAGCATTGTCATTTTTCATAGCACTTTATTTTTATGAAAAATAAATCAAATGCTTTGGCCTCAAAAAAAGGCTGTTGCAAAAGCACTTAATTGGGTATCACAACTGTAAAAGGTTGGGGGAAATCTTAAACATTAATTGTAATACTTCTCTCAGTTTTGAAAATGTCTTTAAGTTCTTATTCTGTTTTAGAGGAACCAAAATGGAAATGTTACCGAACCGAACTTGGGTCTGCTCGCCCGCTGCACAGCAAAGCCAATCTACTGACACCGGGTTGTGGTGAAGGAAAGTACAGCGTTTATTTGCAGGGTGCCAAGCAAGGAAAACAGGCAGCTCGTGTTCAAAAGACCCGAACTCCCCGATGGCTTTCAGGGAAGGGTTTTTTAAGGCCAACATTTGGGGCGAGGGTTGCAGCTCGTGGACTTTCTTCTGATTGGTTGGTGGTGAGGTAACAGGGTGATTTTTCGGGATTCTTAATCACTAACCTTCTGGTTCCAACCAGTCTGGGGTCTGCCTTCTCGTTAGCATGTAGGCACCATCCTCCACTGGGTGGGGGGGGTCTTAGTTTCTGCAGAAAAACTCAAAGATATGCTTCAGATTGTTATGTATATCCCTTGAAGAGGAACTAGTACTCTGTTTTACCACTGAAATATTGTTTAAGCTATCATTACTTTTCTTGCCTAACTGCTTTTCCTTTGTTTCTGCATTCTCTCACTTCCCTAATTTGTAACTGATTGAGCCTGCTTTTTGGAACCAGGGAAGGCCTAGGAGGCTAAAGCCTTTTTCTACAAACAAGAAATGGGGGACATGGAGGGGCTTTTGTAACTGGGAGGGCCCCACAGGGTCCTGCTTGGTCTCAGTCCCCCCTTTTCTTTGATACTTCCCAATCCTAAAGGGAGCAGGAGTGGGACAAGAAAGGGAATAAAGTTTTGGATAGAGAGGCTAATCATAAACTCGTCAGGGGAACTTGGTCTTAGGGGGACTTGGTTTCAGAAACTCCTTGAGGGTAAATCATGATGTATGAAAATATGAAAAAAATAAGACTTGGGACTCTAGCTGTCCTATCCACAAAAAGCCCTCAATGAAACAAAAAAGTCTATCTTGACCTTAAATCAAACATGTATTCATTTGTATGTTTTAAGTTAGATAAAATATTAAGGTTATGTGTGTATGTATTTTAAAAATCATCTTATTGACCAATTTTTAAAAAGTTAACTCACCAACTACTGGGTCTTATCAGATAAGAGGGCTTTTATCTTACACTGATAAAATGAAATAGTATGCAATAGTATGCAATCTTTAAACATACTGTTTTGAATTATATATAATCTCATATAGAGGTGCTCATCATATATGGTTAAATGAGAGAGGAGACTATAGAATAGAATGGGTAGTACCATTCCATTTTTGTAAAAACATGTTTAGAACAAAGAAGAATATATGGCAAATGTAAATGGTGGGTAGTGGAATTACGGCTGATTTTATGCTCTTTATTTCTTAATTTTTATAATTGTACTATCATTTTGTTTTACTTTCATAATAAAAATTAATAAATTAATAAATATCATAAAATTAATAAAAGTCATTTCTTAAAGAAAAAATTAATGTGTGTTTTCCTAATTTATAAGTATAAATGAGACTAAGTCTTTGCTCTAAGGGATACTGACTCTTTGAACTTGGATGTTTTGGGTATTAACTAATTCTCCAATATTCTAGGAAATAGTGCTGAATAGTTTAACAGTTATATTCCTTATCCTATGAAAAGCATCTTTGAGTAGGAAAGAACTGTTGTTCCAGAATTTTCTTAAAGCCCTCCTTGAGTACACTGCTTTCCAAAAAATTTATACACTGCCTGAAGATATGGTCTAAATCTTTAGTCTGCTTTTAAATCTTATCATGTCAAAACTCAGTCTACTTTTCTTGCTTTATTGCCCCTTAAATTCTTAAATGAAAACTTAGCTCCAGATGAATTTGTCAACTCACTATCTCCAAAAGTATCTTGTGCTTTCTTGCTTTTATACTTTGCTTCTTTGCTACTTGGAATAGCTTTTCCTGACAGTTGTGTAAACAAATTCTACCCAGTTTCCAATGTCCAGTTAAAAAAAACATATCCACCATGACATCCCTGGTTCTTCCAGCTAAAACTGAATTTTCCAGCTAAACCTATTTGCACTTATTATTTGTGCCTAGGCATTTCTCAGATACCACCTGATATTTTTGCATTTATTTCCCAATTCCATCTAAACTTCTTGAGAGCAAGAAAGCTTGTATTATATTTCTCTCTATCCCTTGACGCTCCTAGCATAGAACCCTGCACAGGGTAGGTGCTAAATGTTTATTCCTTGATCATACAGTGGTGTCAAGTGTTGAGTTCAAGTGCTGGAATTTCTTGTTAACCAGTGATCCTGGGTAGGGGGGTTAACACTTTGCCCACGACAATGTGGACAAATAAAAAATGGATAATTTGGCTTAATTGTCAATTGATATAGATAGGTGATAAGGAATTGACAGTATTTTTTAATTAAAACTAACACAAAAGCTAAGAGTTGTGTAGTTAGTTCAGGACTCAAACTTAAGTTTCACATAAATATTTCTTTGAAAAGTTTCTCATGAAGCTCATTTTGGGTTTGATGGCCTCTGTTCTTAACCCTACCAGAGGCACAGGTGTGCCTCGCGTTCTTACAGCTACTGTTCCCAGAACCCAGAGATCTGAAGTATTTGACGGTGGGTTATATGCACCCTCAGAGTTACTCTGTTCCAGAACATCTTAAGAGGTCATGTGGGATTCAGTGCGTCATAGTATGTAAAGTGCTTTGTGTTCAAAAGTTAGTAGTTTTTCTCCTATTACTGGAAACATAATCGTGTCAGTCTTCAAACTTAAATTGTGACGAGGGTATTTATTTAATTTGGTTAATGGTAGACACTCATAGGGCTTATCATTTTTTGTTAAACAGTTTTATTTTAATTTATAGATGTTTGCCAGGACTAAATATAGCTGATGAAATATCTGACCTTTTCTGCTCAAGGTAAATGATTTGTTACTTTATAAAAATACCAGGTACCAATAGAATTCAGAGTTTGTATAAAAAGACCCATTTGGTCATGTAAAGTAATGTAATCCCGGGCCCCAAAGAAATGATCTCTTTAAGAATTTTGTTAGTACATGAAAAATGACGTATTATTGGTTCAACTTATATCAGAATCACCTTGGAACATTTTAAATATGTGTAATATGCATGTGCCTGGCTTCCCACCAGGGGATTTTGATTCCATAAGTTTTTGGGGTTTTAGCATGTGAATTTTTCCAAATGCCAACAGGTGCTTTTGGTTTATTGTAGCTCTGTTTCATTGTGGCATGGCACTAGAGATGATGAAATGGCAGGTAATAATGCCATGGGAGTTAAAGTCCATAAGGGTTAAAGATCAAAAAATATTTAAAGTTTTTAAATTTTGTGTGTGTGTGTGTGTGATGTTAGACTCATGCTTTCATTTTGCCTTTTATTCAATGAATGTTTTAATTATATTTTAAATAAAGCACTAAAAAGTTTATTTAATGATTTTCAGAGTTCAGGTTTAAACTCTAGAGTTCTCTCAGCCTGAAAATTGCCACATCTATGAATACAACTTAAACTTTCTTTCATTTTGTTGCTTCAGGTTAATAAGTGACGTAAGTTAATGGAAAAAAGACGAAATTTTAAGTAAATAATTTCTTATATATTCTTTATTTCAGAAGCTGGTTTAATTGATTTATTTTCCCTATAAGTGAGAAGTCAGAAACTATCAAAGTTTCTCATAATAAAAAGTAATGGGTAAGTGAATGTTATGATAGCATTTTGATTTAATGAAGCTTTTCTATTCTTATTGGTTTTAAGGCTGTGGTTTCAATTTTTGAACATTGATTTTAATGAATAAACTTTTTCTGTTGCAGGATAATCTTATCAGAAACACTCATAACATTATAGGATCATTCTCTTTATTTTTTTCGACAGATAAGAGTGTTTAAAATAATTAGAATTAAAACCTTGATGAAATTATCTCTTAAAATCCTATTTTCACTTTCACAAAACAGCAAAAAAACTCGTATTTAATTTATTACTTAAGTTTGTTATATTTTGTGTATGTGAATAAATTGTGTGTGTATCATAATTACTTGGGAAATTTAAAAAATTCTGAATTCTAGGCTCTATTCTCAGATTTACTAAATCAGAATTTTGGGGTATGATTTTTATATTCAGCCTGGTTTGGAAACCAGTATGTAATGATGAAGGATTATAGTTTTGGGGAGGAGGGTAGAAACTTGGAAACTATTCTTTATTTGTAGAGAAATCTTATTGCACTAGTTGGAAAAAAATTCTTCATATTCGTTTGGTTTATGTAATTGTCAGAAGAGAAATGTCTTTTGTTTCAGAGGCTGTATTAGTTGCTATTTTGTTTTTTAGCAACTTTGTTGGATAAATTACTTTAAAATCTGCCTCTGTGGATTAAGCAGAAAATAAATGTAGTATCTTTACTCTCATGCTAGAGAATAAGATGTTATATATGACACTGAGAGCTCACATAATCTGGGATTTTGTGTAGAAACATAATGGGAAAATTAATAAGCTTTGTTAAAGTATAGTAAATATACTATAGTAACAACTTAGAAATAGTAATTTGTCTTTATAAATTGAGTACTGTATTCAATACTGAATCACTTTCTGATAACTCTTAACAACTTAGAAAATCAATAAAAAATGTAGTCATCTAGGCTTCAAATACTGGCAACACACTACTCTTTTCGAAGATGCATAGGTCTCAGAGAAAGACAAATACTGTATGATATTATATATATCCACGTATATGTGGAATCTAAAAAATAAACTAGTGAATATAACAGAAAAGAAACAGACTCATAGATAAAGAGAACAAACTAGTGGTTACCAGCGGGGAGAGGGAAGAGAAGAGGGGCAAGATAAGGGTAGGGAATTAAGAGGTACAAACTGCTATGTATAAAATAGATAAGCTACATGGATACAACACAGGGAATATGGCCAATATTTTATAATAACTATAAATGGAATATACCCTTTAAAAATTGTGAATTGTACTGTGTTGAACACCTGAAACTTACATTGTGCCTCAACTATTCCTCAATTAAAAAAGAAAAGAAGATTCAGAGGTCTCATTTTATTCCAGGCTCATTGATTGGTTCAGTAGCTCATGGTAGCCTTGTCTGTTTTCACAATTATTAGAAATATGAGTGGGTAGGACCCAAGAATGAATTTCTGGTCTCTGATATTATCATAGCTATTTTCCTTATGGTAATAAGGAATTACTGTGCTTTTGCCATTTTTGTTTTTTTCCAGTTTGAGTGTTCAAGGACAATAGCCATCTGACTTTGGTTATTCAATATGCAGAACAGACAAGGATATTGCAGCTATTGCTGTGTGCCCTATAATAACCTGGAACAGGTGAGAAGATCCTATTACTATGGTTATACCACAAAGGACCTAGTCGTAACTTTCCCTTCTTTTACGTTTAATTAAATTCATTTATTCCTGCATTGAACAGACTATATTGAGAATCTACTAATGGGCAGATACTGTTTAAGTTTCTAGGGATATGGCCATGAACAAAATCAGTTTCCTTTATTCATGAAGCTTATACTTTAGTGCAGTAAGACAGAAAGTAAGTAGTCATATAAGTTTAGTACATAGTATGTCAGATTGTGATAAATGTTATGAGGAAAATAAAATAGGGAAGAGTGTGCAATTTTAGGTAGAGTGGCCAGGTAAGGTTAAGGAAGTGACATTTGAGTTGAGATTTGAATGAAATGCAGGGGCCAGGCTTGCTTATATCTGGGGGAAGAATTTCTGGGTAGAGGGACAGGAGAGCAAGGATAGAGACCCTGAGGCAGAAGAGTGGTTAGCATGCTAACTAAAAGCCAGGAGGCCGATGTGGCTACAGTGGAGGTCAGGTGGGGGGTGGAAGTTAAGTGACAGGTGAAGAATTCAGAGCATTAGATTTTGTAAGTCATTGTAAGACAAGGTAAGGACTTTGAATTTTATGCTTTGATGCACAAAAGTTTAAATTTTTGCTATAGTTGAATTTGTCTTATCTTCTTTTGTTACTTGTGTTTTTGGTGTCATAAAAATTGCCTAAAAAAAAAATTGCCTAATCCAAGTTCTTGAAGATTGATGCCCTGTCTTTTAAAAATACGGCCACATTAGTGGTTAGAACTTCAACATAAGAATTTGGCGCAGGTGGGAGGGGTGGACGCAGTGCAGTCTATAGCATTTATACGGTTTGAGTTTTGGATGTTAAACCAATTTTTCATTCCTGGGATAAATTCCACTTGGTCATAGTGTATAATTCTTTTTATATGTTGCTGGATTTGGCTTGCTAGTATTTTGTTGCAGATTTTTGCATATATATCCATAAGATATATTGTCTGTAGCTTTTTTTTTTTTTTTTTGGCTGTGTTGGGTCTTCATTGCTGCGTGCGGGCTTTCTCTAGTTGCGGCGAGCGGGGTCTACTCTTCCTTGCGGTGCACGGGCTTCTCATTGTGGTGGCTTCTCTTGTTGCAGAGCACGGGCTCTAGGTGCTTGGGCTTCAGTAGTTGTGACATGTGGGCTCAGTAGTTGTGGCACGCGGGCTCAGTAGCTGTGGTGTGAGGGCTTAGTTCCTCTGCAGCATATGGGATCTTCCTGGACTAGGGATTGAACCTGTGCCACCTGCATTGGCAGGCAGATTCTTAACCACTGTGCCACCAGGGAAGTCCTCATCTGTAGCTTTTTTTCCTTGTGATGTGTTTGTTTTTGGTGTCAGGGTAGTACTGACTTCATAGAATGAGTTGAGTAGTATTCCTTTCTCTTCTTTTTGTTGGAAGAGTTTGCGAAACATCAAGTATGGAGATTTTGAAATAAGTATTCATGGTAATAGTAGCTGCAGCTTTCTGACCAGGATTGTTAACTTAGAAGATTCTCAAGTTTTTCTTCAGCTGTGGAATTGTCTCATAGGTGAAGCAATCATATAATGAAGCTTCTGCTAGTGCTAAACTGTTTGATCTTTGATGATATCTAAGACAAGTTTATAATATATAAAAATTATGCTGTTTAGTAGCATTTGTTTTGTTTAATGATCTAATAGTAAACACTTAAATTCATACTAGGAAGAGTTTTTATTATTGTGATTTCTACATCTCTGCCTTTTTAAAAAAGAAATAATTTTTAATGCTGGTTATAAACATGAGGAGGCAGATAATAAATCTCAAGTTCTCTTCAATATTTCTCTCATGATTGAGAAATTATATCATCACTTGAATGGAAAATTATTTGTTGATCTTTTGCTAGTGATAAAACATGTTTATGCTTTAACTACAAGTTCTAGTCAATAAGCATTCAGTATAATTTTTTTGCTTAAGGTTTAGAATAATAATTTTTAGACATTTGGATACTCCTGTACTAAACTGACATTTAAAAAGATTCTGTTGATGATAGCTGAGGTAACTTGTACTAGCTATAAAAGCTCGAAAAAAATACACACACACACATATATATATATATATATATATATGATTCAAAGCTTTGGTGAACTACTAAGGCAGTGAAGACATATGGGGCCCAGATCTAGCTGAATATTGATCAGAATATTCAACAGAAATAATGGAAGCCAAAGGAAAGAAAACAACTGCCAGCTTAGAATTCTATACTCAGTAAATAAGGTGAAATAAAATATTTTCAGGAAACAAAAATTAAGGGAATTTATCACCAGCAGACACTTACTAAAGGAAGTACTAAAAAGAGTTTTTCAGGTAGAGGGAAAATGATTCCAGCTGGAAGCTCAGAGATACAGGAAGGAACGAAGAGCAATGGAAAGGTATATAGGTGGGCAATGTAAATGAATAATATCTTGTGAAATTAACAACAGTGGCATATAAATTGGAAGGGGAGTAAATTGAGCTAATACCTAAGGACCTTGCATTGTTCAAGAAGAGAGTGGGGACTTCCCTGGTGGTCCAGTGGTTAAGACTTGGCACTTCCAGTGCTTCCAAGGCAGTGGGTGCAGGTTTGATCCCTGGTCAGTAGAACAAAGATCCCACAAGATCCCACATGCCGTGAGGCATGGCCAAATTAAAAAAAGAGAGAGAGAGAGTAAAAGTAACAAGTACTTTTGATCAGTCAGCGTTGCATGTTATAGTCTGTTACCACTAATAGACTAGGAAAAAGTCTATATAAAATATAGATCTTTGTAGTCTATATAAAATTGGAATAATAAAAAGTAGTCCACAAGAAAATAAGAAAGCAGAGAAATAGGGACACTGTGTAGGCAAGAATAGAATAATAAAACATTTAAAAATAAAAACAAGAATTAACTACAAATGTATCAGTAATAAATTAAGTGAAAATAGACGATGCTTGAATTAAACTATATTCAGTATTTTATCAGAGGTCCTAGTCAGGGAAATAAAGAAAGAAAAAGAAAAGAAAATGATAAAGATTAGAGAAGAAGAAATAAAACTGTTAGTATTTGTATACAGTATGATTGTGCACAAAGAAAATCCTAAAGATATTTAGATGAACTATTAGAATTGATAAGTGATTTTTAAAAACCTTTGGGCCAACATAAAAATAAATTGTCTTCTTAGAGTAAATATATATATGTATAGCAATCTGCTGTACACATAAAACTGACATAACATTGTAAGTTAACTATACTTCAATAAAAAATAGTTAGAAAAAAAGAATAAAAAAATTGTCTTTCTATATATAAACACCACATAGAAGATGAGATTTGAAGAAGATATTTACAACAACATCAAAAATCATCAACTTTTAAGGAATATGTGTAAAAAATACGTATAAGATTTTTGTACAGAAAACTATAAACATTGAGAGAAATTTAAGAAAAATTTAAAAATTAAATGCACACACATACACAAAAGAAAGTGAAAAGGCAAGCCACAGAGAGGAAGATGATACAGATCTTCCTCAACTTATGATGGGATTACATCCTGATTGTAATTTGAAAATATCTTAGGTTGAAAATGCATTTAACACACCTAACCTATTGAATATCATAGCTTACCTAGCCTACCCTAAAATTACTCAGAACACTTCATCAGCCTACAATTGGGCAAAATCATTTATGCAAAGCCTATTTTATAATAATTGAGTAGCTCATGTAATTTATTGAATACTGTACAGAAAGTGAGAAACAGAATGTTTTTTGTTTTTTTTTTGCGGTACGCGGGCCTCCCACTGCTGTGGCCTCTCCCGTTGCGGAGCACAGGCTCCGGACGCGCAGGCTCAGCGGCCATGGCTCACGGGCCCAGGCCGTGGCCCGAACCCGTGTCCCGTGCATCGGCAGGCGTACTCTCAACCACTGCGCCACCAGGGAAGCCCCCTTATGGTTTTTAGATGCATATTTAGAATTGCTTTATAGAAAGGGTATATTAATTTATACTTCTACTAGGTGTATAATGAATTTATATTGTGACATTCTCACTACTAGTGAGTATTACCCATTTAAAAATATTCATTTTCTTTTTACTTTATAGCATATATCCAGTGATCAGCACAGGTACTTGACCACACAGAGTAGACAATGGATGGCTACCACTAGTTTGATGGATCGTTTCTTGCAGGATGTTCTGAGGCACCACCCATATCGTTATCAAGAAAGCAGGTAAAGTAACTGAGTGGAATAATATTAGCACAGAGTTAGTTATATGTTACAGTAAGTGTTTGTGTTAATTGTTCTAATACTTCCTAAAGTGAACCTTTGAATCAAGGAATATAACGTGAAATTTTATCTAGTAACTTACCTTTGCAATTATTTAAAAATTTTTCCTAGCTTAGGTAAGAAATTTCACTCTAAAAGTTATGGACTACACTGTGCTTTTTCTAAAGAAAAGTCTTAGACCAATAAATAATTATATATCATTAAGGTGTTTTGTAAGGATGTCACAGGATTAAACACGGTAAAAAGGTGGGAACAAACATAACTTTTACGAGATTAGTAACCAGAAAGTTGGTGACAGTAGCCAAGTAAGGGTGGTTAAGGTAAAAACTAAGTTAACTCCACATTAATGGAACTATTTGCTATTTTGTCAAATAGAATTAGCTCTTTTTATAATTTGTCAGTATCTTGATAGCTTACTCTTGTATTAATTTATTTTGGTTTTAGTAAAAATAAATATTTTGATAACATTTAAAAAAGTTAATGTCCTATGTTAAAGAAGAACTTTGGTAGAAAATCAGATTATGTACTCTGGTGAGTTTGCAACTACAGCTATACAAGATAAGGCAAAATAGATCATTAGCACATCTGTGCAGAATTAGTTGAGTTCAGCACTAGCAGCAGAAAAAAGGATAAACTTCTTGAACGCTTTGCAAGTCACCAACCTAGAACTTAGTAAATGGCGAAAAAGTTTTAATGGGAAAAAGTCAGGAAAAAAATATTTGGTTTTCGTAGAGAATGAACTTGAGGACATGGGGAGGGAGAAGGGGAAGCTGGGACAAAATGAGAGAGTAGCATGGACATATGTACACTACCAAATGTAAAATAGATAGCTAGTGGGAAGCAGCCACATAGCACAGGGAGATCAGCTCGGTGCTTTGTGACCACCTAGAGGGGTGGGATAGGGAGGGTGAGAGGGAGACACAAGAGGGAGGGGATATGGGGATATATGTATACATATAGCTGATTCACTTTGTTATACAGCAGAAACTAACACAACACTGTAAAGCAATTATACTCCAATAAAGATGTTAAAAAAAATTATGTGGTTTCTTAGCTGGTGGAAAGATGGAATTAGCCTATCTTGGGGTCAGTATAAATTACCAGTTTATAGTGTATATAAACAATGCTTCAACAAACATATTTGTACATGCAACTTTTTCTGTGGAGTAGATTCCTAGAATTTGAACTTTGGGGCTAAAGTTTATGGACATTAAAAATATTTTTTATTTTTTAACTTTTCATTTTGGAATAATTACAGGCTTACAAAAATTTAGCTGCAAAACTGGTACAAGGAATTCTTGTGTAACTTTTACCTAGCTTCCCCAAATGTTAAATCTAAAATAACCACAGTACAGTGATCAAATCCATGAAATTACATTGATACCATACTATTTACAGACCTGATTCAGATTTTGTCAGTAGTGTTACTAATGTCCTTTTTTTGGACCAAGATTCCATCCAGGACCACACAGTGCATTGAGTTGTCACAATTCCTTACTTTCCCTTAATCTCGAGTAGTTCCTCAGTCTGTCTTTGATTTCAAGACCTTGATACTTTTTAAAAGAGTACTGGCCAGTTATTTTGTAGGATATTCCTAAATTTGGGTATGCCTGATGTCTTTTCATTTTGTTGATGGTCTCCTTTACTGTGCAAAAGCTTTTAAGTTTAATTAGGTCCCATTTGTTAATTTTTGCTTTTGCTTCTATTGCTCTAGGAGATGGATCCAAAAAAATATTGCTGCGGTTTATGTCAAAGAGTGTTCTGCCTATGTTTTCCTCTAGGAGTTTTATATTATCTGGTCTTACATTTAGGTTTTTAATCTATTTTGAGTTTATCTTTGTATATGGTGTTAGAGAATGTTCTAAGTTCATTCTTTTACATGTAGCTCTTCAGTTTTCCCAGCACCACTTATTGAAGAGACTATCTTTTCTTCATTGTATATTCTTTCCTCCTTTGTCATAGATTAATTGACCATTAATGCATGGGTTTATTTCTTTTTATTTATTTATTTATTTGGCTGTGACAGGTTGTAGTTGCAGCATGTGGGATCTTTCGTTGCAGTGCGTGGGCTTCTCTCTTGTTGTGGCACATGGGCTCCAGAGCACACGGGCTCAGTAGTTGTGGTGTGCAGGCTTAGTTGCCCTGTGGCATGTGGGATCTTAGTTCCCCAACCAGGGATCAAACCCACGTCCCTTTCATTGGAAGGCCAGTTCTTAACCACTGGACCACCAGGGAAGTCTGCGTGGGTTTATTTCTGAGCCCTCTGTCCTGTTCCATTCATCTATGTTTCTGTTTTTGTGCCAGTACCATCCTGCTTTGATTACTGTAGCTTGGCAGTATAATCTGAAGTCAGGGAGTGTGATTCCTCTAGCTCTGTTCTTCTTTCTCAAGATTGTTTTGGGTATTCAGGGTCTTTTGTGTTTCCATACAACTTTTAAAATTATTTGTTCTGGTTCTGTGAAGAATGCCATTGGTATTTAGATAGGGATTGCAGTTAATCTGTAGATTGTCTTGGGTAGTATGGTCATTTTAACAATATTGATTCTGCCAGGAACATAGTGTATCTTTCCATCTGTTTGTGCCATCTTCAGTTTCTTTCATCAGTGTCTTATAGTTTTCTGAGTACGGATCTTTTGCCTCCTTAGGTAGATGTATTCCTCGGTGTTTCATTCTTTTTGATGTGATAGTAAATGGGATTGTTTCCTTAATTTCTCTTTCTGGTAGTTCATTGTTAGTGTATAGAAATGCAACAGATTTCTGTATATTAAGTTTCTATCCTGCAACTTTATCAAATTCTTTGATGAGCTCTCGTAGTTTTTTTTGGTGGCATCTTTAGTGTTTTCTATGTATAGTATGTCATCTGCAAACAGTGACAGTTTTACTTCTTCCTTTCCATTTTGGATTTCTTTTATTTCTTTTTCTTCTCTTGTTGCTGTGGCCAAGACTTCTAAAACTATGTTGAATAAAAATGGTGAGAGTGGGCATTCTCGTCTTGTTCCTGATCTTGGAGGAAATGCTTTCAACTTTTCCCTGTTAAGCATGTTGTTAGCTTTGGTTTGTCACATATAGCCTTTATTAAGTTGGGGTATGTTCCCTTTATGCCCACTTTCTGGAGAGATTTTATCATAAATGGATGTTGAATTTTGTCAAAAGCTTTTTCTGCATCTATTGAGATGATCATATGGTTTTTATTCTTCAATTTGTTAATATGGTGTATCACATTGATTGATTTGAGTATATTGAAGAATCCTTGCAGCTCTGGGATAAATCCCACTTGTTCGTGGTGTATGATCATTTTAATGTGTTGCTGGATTCTGTTTGCTGGTATTTTGTTGAGGATTTTTGCATCTATATTCATCAGTGATATTGGTCTGTAACTTTCTTTTTTTGTAGTATCTTTGTCTGGTTTTGGTATCAGGGTGATGGTGGCCTCATAGATTGATTCAGAAGTTTTCCATCCTAACCTTACACCTAAAGGAACTAGAGAAAGAAGAACAAACAAAACCCAAAGTTAGTAGAAGGAAAGAAATGATACAGATCAGAGCAGAAATAAATGAAATAGGGACTTCCCTATACAATATATATTGTATATACATATATATACAATTTATGCAATAAATTATATATAAATTGGTATAGTCTTCCAGGAAATGTCTATCAAGAATTAAAATTTTCTTCTCTAAATGTCTGGTAGAATTCACCTGTGAAGCTGTCTGGTCCTGGCCTTTTGTCTGTTGAGAGTTTTTAAATTACTGATTCAGGGCTTCCCTGGTGGCGCAGTGGTTAAGAATCCGCCTGCCAGTGCAGGGGACATGGATTTGATCCCTGGTCTGGGAAGATCCCATGTGCCGTAGAGCAACTAAACCCATATGCCACAACTACTGAGCCTGAGCTCTAGAGCCCACGAGCCACAACTACAGAGCCCACACACCACAACTATTGAAGCCCCCCACCATAGAGCCTGTGTGCTGCATCTACTGAGCCCATGCACTGCAATTACTGAAGCCCACATGCTGTAGGGCCCGCGTGCCACAACTACTGAGCCCACGTGCTGCAACTACTGAAGCCTGTGCGCCTAGAGCCTGTGCTCTGCAACAAGAGAAGCCACCGCAATGAGAAGCCTGCACACTACAACGAAGAGTAACCCCCACTTGCAGCAACTAGAGAAAGCCCATGCGCAGCAACAAAGACCCAATGCAGCCAAAAAAAAATTAAGAAAATGATATAATAAAAAAAAATGAAATAGAGACTTAGAAAAATAAGAAAAGATCAATGAAACTAAAAGCTGGTTCTTTGAAAGGTAAACGAAATTGATAAGCCTTTAGCCAGCCTCATCAAGAAAAAAAGGGAAAGGGCCCAAATCAATAAAATCAGAAGTGAAAAAGGAGAAGTTACAACAAACACCACAGAAATACAAAGGATCATAAGAGACTACTGTGAATAGCTATATGCCAATAAAATGGACAACCTAGAAGAAATGGTCAAATTCTAGAAATGTATCAATACAATCTCCCAAGACTAAACCAGGAAGAAATAGAAAATATGAACAGACCAAATACCAGTAATGAAATTGAATCAGTAATTTTTTTTTTTTTTTTTTTGCGGTACGTGGGCCTCTCACTGTTGTGGCCTCTCCCATTGCGGAGCACAGGGTCCGGACGCGCAGGCTCAGCAGCCATGGCTCATGGGCCCAGCTGCTCCGCGGCATGCGGGATCCTCCCGGACCAGGGCACAAACCCGTGTCCCCTGCATCGGCAGGCGGACTCTCAACCACTGCGCCACCAGGGAAGCCCTGAATCAGTAATTTAAAAACTCTCAACAGACAAAAGGCCAGGACCAGACAGCTTCACAGGTGAATTCTACCAGACATTTAGAGAAGAAAATTTTAATTCTTGATAGACATTTCCTGGAAGACTATACCAATTTATATATAATTTATTGCATAAATTGTATATATATGTATATACACCGGTAGTATATGACAGTGCTCATTTCCTGTCACTCTTGCCAACATTGCGATTATCAACCTCTTTCTTTCTCCCTAAAATAATAGGCCAAAAAGTGTCTCTTAATTAACCTTTATTTATTTATGAGTAAAGTAGAATTTCTCTTGCTATATAGTTATTAGAAATATATTTATCCTATGGATTGTTTTTTCATATACTTTGCTTATTTTTCCATTGAATTGTTTGTATATTTTGGGTTTGTATGCAATATTTAGGAATAATAGTTCTTTGTATTTTAAATGTTATTTGTATTTTAAATATCAGAATCTGTCATGTGTTTATCAACTCTGTTATCATGTGTTTATCAACTATATGTTATTTTTTACCATATAGAAAGAAACATTTTGACACAATCTAAGAATTTTTCTTTATGGCTTCTTTCATGTCTTTTTCTTAATTCCATTTTTCTCTTCTTTTAAATATTTTTAATCTTCTTGGAATTTATTTTTATAAGTGGTATATAGCAGTACTTATTTTTTAAATATACTAATTATCTCCACTGATATAAAACATCACCTGTAACATAAAATTCCTGTATTTGTGTGTGTGTATCTACATCTACTTCTATATCTATATATTGGATTTTGAATACCATTTTCTTTCATTGAATGGTTTTAATCCCATGCCAGTGCCACATTACTTATGTTTATAAGCTTTCTGAATTATATAGTTCATCTTTAAAAAATTTCATCTCTCTTTCCCCCCTTGTCTAGACATTGTTGGTTTTTCTATTATTTTAGACTTCTTGAAAATCAGCTCTTGCTTTACTTTTGTTTCCTATTTATTGGTCTTTTTCTTAATTTATATCTTCAAGTTTCCTGAGGTAGGGGGATTTGGTTATTTTTCTGTCTTTTTGAACTAGATGCTCATTTAGTTAATTTCTGTTTACTAATTCTTATTTTAATGGGAAATTTAAAAGTGTGAAGTTTTCATTTTGATCATCTCATAGATTTAATATATAGTTATTTATTTTGTAGATAGTTTAAAAAGTTTTCCTTTTTAGCATAAGAGTTATATAAAAGAGTGGTTTTAAACCTTTAATGGTTACATTTTTGGAGGCCTTTTTTTGTTGTAAAATTAGTTTAAAATGAGTAGAAATACGGATTGTGATTTAGTTGTTAATTTTATTTATTTATTTAGTTGTTAATTTTAAACCCACATGAATACAGATGAAAATTTTTTGGGATTTCCAACTTGTTTGATTTTATGATTCTGCCTTCCTTTCTTTTCTTAGCCAAATATTACAAAATTAATTTTAATTTGAGACTCTGTCTTCTAGGAATCTTGCCCAGGGTAGGAAGAAAATAACATTTATTATGCATTTAATAAAAATCTTAAACAGATGTTAGAGTATTTTTATGGATTTTTTCCCCCTTGCTTTTTAGATCAATGCAAAATGAGAGACTTCATATGACTACTGTGTCACCTTCTGGAGTGGTTCCGAATGATGATTTTGTTCCTGAAATAATGACTGAGGATGCTACTGGAGTCAGAGAAGAGATGTCTTCCAAGGCTTCTGAACCTGTTGAAGAGCTGTATTCTAAACCTAGTAAATCTCAGGAATATATACAGAGTGTTTCAATTCGGCCATCGGTTATTCAAAAACTGGAGAAAGGACAGCAGCAGCCCTTGGAGTTCATTCATAAAATTGGGAGCCATATGAAAGAATTTAACCCAGTTGGTATTGGTCATGCTACAAATAATAGACAAAACGTAATATATTCATCAGTGGTTTCTAATGCTCCTGTTAGTTGTTTACCTGAAAGTTCTCATGAAAGACCAGTTACAACTAATGCTACTACTGGGTTACCACTAGGATCCCATTTGGATTCAGTTAACAAATGTGACCCAAACAAAGTTGACAAATACTTTAAACAGCTAGACAGGGGCTCTAGAAACCCTGTGCTATCATCCCATCCAGAAACTTCTTCAATAACTTATCAGAAACCTAAAGAATCAAACAGGAAATCTTTATGTATAAATTCAGATAAATTGGTTATACAGGAAGATGTGAAATCTCAGGGTAAAACTTTGTCAACTGGCTCTAAAGTCCATGAATTTGTGGGTGCTGAAGGCTTCTTAAAATTGGAATCTCTTTCCAGATTTACAGTAAACCCAACAGTCAACCTGAATAAAACTGACATGCCTTCTAATAAAGGAATCTTTGAAGATGGCATTCCAAAGCATCATGAGAAATTCTTTCCTAATATGGATCATACCCAAGAAGGAAAGCATTTGGTCTTTAACAAGTCAGCCTTCTTGGAACAGAAGATCTCAGTGAGTTCTGAAATGAAGTTTGCTGGTGGCTATCTTCAGTCAGCATCTGATCACCATGAAGAGGCTGTGCCAGACCTTTGGAAGGAGGAGCAAATTGACCAAGAAGATAAGAACTGTGAATCAAGAGGTTCTGAAATGAGTTCTGATGGCAGTTCCTCTTTTTATTCACTGACGGACCAATCTAAAGTGACTGCCAAAGAAATAAACCTCTTAAAGGAAGTACATGCTGACTTGCAGTATAAGAACAATAAATCTTGTGTTTCTGAAATAAGCTCTGATTATGATGGCTCCCTTCAGTTGACTTCCAACCAAACTCAAGTAATTGTTAAAGACGTAAGTGTTCAGAAGGCAATGCATATTAGGCTGGTTGATGAAAGCTATGAATCTAGTGATTCTGAGATGAATTTTCATGGTGATGCCTCACTTCAGTCAACTGATAACTACCCCCAACAGCGTGAAAAAGAAGTAAACCTTCCCAAGGGGGCACACGTTGGCTTGGTTGATATGAACTATGGATCTGGTAGCTCTGAAATAAGTGCTGATTCTGTTTTCTCACGTCAGTCAGTGGTTGACCAATTCCCAGTGGCTGTCACAGAAACAAAACTCTGGAAGAAGGTTCACATTAGCTTGGTTGATAAGAACTATGGATCGAGTTGTTCTGAAACAAGTTTCGACTGTGATGTTTCTCTTCAGTCAGTAGTTGACCATCCTCAACTGGCTGTCAGAGAAAGAAACCTGGAGCATAGGCTTGTGTATCTGAAAGATAAGGATCGTAAGCCTAGTAGTGCTAAAGCACATCTTGATTGTGATGTCTCTCTTCAGACCATGACTGATGAACCTCAGAGGGCTGTTGAAGAAATCTATCTTCTGAAAGAGAAGAATAACATTGTGGATATGAACTGTGGGTCTCATGGTCCTGAGATGAATTTTCATCTGATGAAAACAGATGCTAAGTTAGTGCCTGACCAATCCCAAGTGGCAGGTAAAGAAGTAAACGCTCAGGAAGTAGCTCTTGACCTGGAGAATAAGAGTGTTAAATCTAGCATTTCTGATCTAAGTTTTGATTCTCATGCTTCTCTTTATCGATCAGCTAATGATCAACCTCAGGGGGATTGTGGTGAAATAAATCTGAAAGCGTTAAGTGTTGATATGGAAGTTAAGAGCTATGGGTGCTCCAGTTCTGAGTTGAGTTTTGATTCCGATCCTCCTCTTATGTCAGTTACTGAGTATACTGAGCTGGATGTTGAAGAAATAAGAAAGAAGCACGTTAACCTGGAAGATGAGAGCTTTGAGTCAATTAGCTCCAAAATAACTTTTGATTCTGATATTCCTCTTCACTCAGTAGTTGACCAATCTCAAGTAGCCATTTATGAGGAGGAGTCTATTGATCTGGGAAATAAGAGTAATGAATCTTGTGTTTCTGAAATAACTTTTGATTCTGATATACCTCTTCATTCAGGGATTTATCAACCTGAAGTAGCTGCTAAAGAAACATTCATTCAGAAAGAAGAGTATATACACTTAGGAGGGAAGGATGATGAACCCACCGGTTCTGAAATAAGTTTGGATTCTTATATCCCTTTTCAGTCAGTGGTTAACCATCCAGAAGAAGCTGTTAAAAAGCTAAATCCTCAAAAAGAAGAGTGGGCACCCTTAGAAAATAAGGAAAATGAACCTTGTGGTTCTGAATTAAGTTTTGATTATGATGTTTTCCGTTCAGTGACTGGATGTTCTGAAGATCCCATTAAAGAAAGAAACCTTCTGAAAGAGGAGATTATACACTTAGAAAGTAAGGGTAATGTACCTGTTGTTTCTGAAAGCAGTATGAAGTCTGATATTTCTTTTCATTTAGTGACTGATCATCCTGGCATAGCTATTAAAGAAGTAAACCAAAAAGAAGAATATGTAAATTTAGCAGATAAAGGTAATGAGTTAAGTGTTTTTGAAACAAGTTTGGATTCCAATATCCCTCTTCAGTCAGTGATTCACAAACCTGAAGTGGTTGTTAAAGAACTATGGCTTCAAAAAGAAAAGCATGCTAAGTTAAAAGGTAAAAGTGCTAAATTCAGTGGTTCTGAAATAAATTTAGATTCTGATTATTCAATGACTGAAACTCAAATAGCTGTTAAAGAAATAGATGTTCAGAAAGAAAAACGTGTTGTTCTAGAGATCAGGAGTGATAAATATAGTGGTTCTGAAATAGCTTTGGACTCTGATGTCCCTCTTCAGTCAATGAATGAAAAACCTCAAATAACCATTTTAAAGGAGGACCATGTTGACCCAGAAGATGAAAGTACTGTACCTAGAGGTTTTGAAAAAAATTTGGGTACTGATACCCCTCTTCATTCAGTCATTGACCAACCTCGACTAGCCCTTTTGAAGGAAAAACATGTGGATCTGGAAGATACAAACAATGAATCTAGTGATGGTAAAATAGCTTTTCATTCTGATGACCCTCTTCAGCCATTGACTGAACAATTTCAGGAAGTGGTTGAAAAAACAAACCTGTGGAAAGAAGAGGATATGGGCCAGAAGAATAAGGTTGATGAACCTAATGCTTCTAAATTAATACATAATTCTGATGTTCCTCTTTTGTCTGTGTCTGATCAACCTGAAGTAGCTGTTAAACGAATAAACATCAAGAACGAAGGTCATGTGTACTTGGAAGATAAGAACAGCCAATATAGTGGTTCTGAAATGAGTTTGAATTCTGATCTCTTGGTTCAGTCAGTAGTTGATCATGCTCAGATAACTATTTTGGAGCAGGAGCATACTGAGCTAGAGGATAAGCACAATCAATCTTGTGGCTCTGAAATAAGTTTTGATTCTGTTGATCCCCTTCAGTCAGTGGCCAACCAGCTTAGAGAAACTGTTAAAGAAGTAAGCCTTTGGAAGGATGAAGTTGACATGGAAGATAAGAGAGATGAATCTAAGTGTTTTGAAATTGTGTATGATTCTGATGTCCTTTTTCAGTCAGTGGCTGGCCAAACTAAAGTTAAGGAGATCAACCTTTGGGAGGAGGATGTTGACTTGGAAGATAAGGTGGTCAAACCTAGTGATTCAAAAATAAATTTTGTTTCTGATGAACCTCTTCAGTCTGTGGCTAATGAAATTCAAGAGGCTATTCCAGAAATAAATCTTCTGAGGGAGGGACATGTTTGTCTGTGTACTAAGAGCTATGAACCCAATGATTCCGAAGTCATTTATGTTTCAAATGCCCATCTCCAATCAGTGGTTGAGCAACCACACATATTGGAAGAGCAGAAAGCCAGTTTGGAAGATAAGAGCAATGATCCTTGTGGTCCTGAAATAAGTTTTGTTTCTGATGATCCCCTTCAGTTAGTGACTAGACCGCTTCAAAAAGCTGTTGAAGAAATAGGTCTTTGGGAGGAAGGCCATGTTTACCTGGAAAATAAGAGATATAAACTAGGTGATTTTGAAGTAAGTTATGATTCTGATGTTGACTTCATAGCTGGGCATTCTCCTGTGGCTGTCAAAGAAATAAACTTGCAAGAGAAGGATCATGACCTTCATAAGAACTGTGAATTTAGTGTTTCTGAAATAAAATGTGATTCTGGTGTTCATCTTCAGTTAGAAGTTGACCAACCTCAAGTGGTTTGCAAAGAAGTAAACTTTCAGATGGAAAAGCATCTTGGCATGGAAGAAAGAGTCAGTGAACCTAGTGATTCTGAAATAATGTGTGATTCTGATGTTCCTCTTCAAATAGTGATAAACGAACTTCAAGTGTCAGACAAAGAAGCAGATCTTCAGAAGATGCTATTTGTGGACCTGATGACCAGTGATAACGATTGTGAAATGATTTCAGATTCTGATGTCCATTTTCAGCCAGTGATTGACTCACCTCAGATGACTGTCAATGAAATCAGCTGTATAAATGAAGAAAGTTTTGTTCCAGAAGATGAGAACTGTGACTCTTCTGATTCTGAACTAGGATATCCTCAATCAGTGACAAACCATTCCAAAAAGACCTTTAAAGTAGTAAACCAGAAGCAAGACTATATTATTCTGGAAGAGACAAGCTGTGAGCCTTATATTTCTGAACTAAATTTTCAAATTGATGCCTCTCATCAGTCCATGACTTCCCAGTCACAAGAGCCTAGGAAAAAAAAGGCCAAATATATTGACCCCAAAGATAAGAGCTGTCAATCTAATCATCCTAAAAGAAATTTTGAACGGGAGGAGACTTCTCAGCCAGTGACTCAGCAACGCCAGAAGGCTAACAAAGGAGTCAACCTTTGGAAAGATGTCGAAAATATTGGCCTAAAAGATAAGAACTGTGAATCTAGTGTTTCTGCAGTGGATTGTAATGAGTCTCCTGAGTTGGTGATTCATCAAATGCCTGATAAAGAAAACCTTTTGAAGTTAAAACATACCGATCTAAAAAGTATGAGCTGTGAACCTTGTGGTTCTGGGATGAATTTTCAATGTGATCCCTCTCTTCAGTCTGACAATGACCAGCCTCAAGAAGCTGTTAATAAAATAGACCTATTTGAGAAGATGTCTTTTGACCTGAAAGAAACAAACCATAATTCCCATTCAGGCTCTGTTCCCATGGTTGATTCTATACGGAACCTGGAAAAAGCAAAGGAAGTCACAGAAGATGATCCTGATGAACCAGTTCTTGAAGGCTTGCCTCATGTCCCTCCTTCATTTGTGGGGAAAACGTGGTCTCAGATAATGAGAGAAGGTGATGTGAAAATTAATGCTCTCATGAAGGAATTTAAGAAAGGTCGTTTCCACTGTTACTTTGATGATGACTGTGAGACCAGGAAAATTAAAAAAAAAAAATCGAATGAAGGAAAAAAGGTTACCTGGAGTGACCTCAATCAGGACACTACATCAATTCAAGTTCTTTCGGATTGTGATGATAATGCAGGTGGTATTTCAGATGTTGATGACTTTTCAGTGGCCTTAGATAAACCTAGCCATTATCCTTCAGCAAAGAAGCATTTTGAACAAACATGCCGAGTGGCTTCTCCATGCCAGGCTATAAAAGTCAGCCATGGAACTCAAACCAATCTTGCAAGTCACCCAGGGACAAAAAGAAGAATAACTGGACAAGAGAAAGACTCTCCAGTAAGGAAGCGTTTACTTTTACAGAATGACAGAAAAACAAGAAAGAAAGTAAAAATTGGAAAAGTTGAATTTCCTGAGTCCTGTATTACAGTTTTGAAGCCTTTGCAACCAAATGCCTTAATTTATGTTCTTTCTTCAAATATTAAGCTGAAGAAAGGTGAATCCAACAACTTCTCTAAACGGAGGCATGGTAGTAGAAATAATTGGGATCTTAGCATACAGTACAAATTTAACCAGAGTTCCTTTAATTGTTATGACCCATTGAATAAACAGATTGTAATTGATCCTTCTTTGAACATAGAAGTACCAGGGCCTGACAAGAATAACTGTGTGGAAATTCATTTTAGCCACCTAAATTCTAATGCAGGAGATGATGATACTTATGTACAAAGCTCTGCTTCAGCACCTTTTATGACAGTGTCAGTAGGACGTGAATTAATGGCACATCAGGAGGCCAGTGAATCTGTGTTTCTGGAAAAATCCAAGATTTTGAATTCTAGTGAGGTTTCAAAAGAAAGTAATTTCCAGTCAACTCTTTTAAATCATGATGTTGCCAAAATTTCTCTGAAATCAATTAGAAATAAGTTTTTGGAAAGTAAAAGGAAAATTCAGAGAAGGAAGGTGACAACTAATAATAAGCCAGGTTTTCCCAAAGAAGATTGTAGACCAGTTATTCCCCAGCAAAAAACCAGAATTGCTTCAGAAAAACGGTCCATTTGGATTCAGACCAAACTAAGTGATATAATTAAAAAGTATATTCCAAAATACTCTGTGTTTTTGCGTCACAAATATTGGTCCAGGAGCACTTTCGTTAGGATGCATCTTAAGAAGAAAAAATCTGATGTCAGTAGGTTAAAGAAGGCAAAGAGACCAGCTAAAATTCTTTCAAATGCCTCGATTCCATCAGCTGGAGCTGAAGAGCAGTCAAGAGCTATAGCAAGCTCTTCTCCCAAGCAACCTGTGCGGGGCTCTTCTGTCGTTGCAGGAAGTAAGAAGAATGGTAATAAAAAACGCCCTAGAAGACAACAGAGAAAACCTTCTAGACCTGTTAGAACATATGCTTTGAGAAGTTTGTATTCTGGTGTACCATATTCTGATAGAATGAGGACACGGCTCTCTAACAAATTGTGAGGTAATGAGGTAAACTAGAGGTGTTTCTATTAAGGGCTAGTTGAGGATTCAGTACTTCAATTGAAAATATATTTGGTACCTAGTGTACATAGCTTTCCTAACTTTGGTGAAAAAAATGCACCTTCAACTATTTTGCTATAGACTTATTTTTCAGAACTTTTATATTAATTTAAAGTTAGTGTTTAGGGTCCTTTTTTTTTCAAATTAAAAAACTTCCTTTGTCCATTTGCTGTGGAAAAGCTTCATCTTAATTTATATCACATAATTTAGCACAGTATATACAACTTTCTCCCTCAAATCATGTCCCTCTTACTTATTTTTTATGATTGTATCTCTCATGTCAGCAGGTTATATTATTGCAAAAATGGATGTGGCAAACATAAAATGCTTTTACTTTTTAAAAATTGGAACAAATGAATATGTAGTTATTTTCTGTGTGTTTTAGAGTGGCATTGTCAATATCATATCCTAACTGGATAATTAAAAAGAAGAAACTCTAATAGATTATCTCAGCTTTTGAGTGGGATTAACCTAAATAATCACACACAAAATATAATTTATCTTTCTTTTAAAAGCATTCCAGAGAATGAGATTTCATAAACTTTAATCCAGTTTAAAAAACTGCCTGGTGATTTTACATACATAACACAAACTCTTCCTTCTTCATTTAAACTGAATCTGCAGGTATCTAACTTTCCTCATTTGGACACATGCGTACATGCAATCTCTGCAGGTTTTTCTTTAGCATTATTAGACCTTAAGGGGAAAATGATCTTGCCAGTGTGATTATGCTTTTCTACCACCTTTTTTCCCCTCCACCTGAAGGGTTGGTGGTTTAATGTGAGAATCCAGTTATCTTATGGCCTTATCTCTTAAAAATATTTTAGATGTTTCCATATCCTTTTTAATAGCTTGAACTGAAATGACTGGTTTGGTAATTTGGGCAGATCATTAATTGTTGTTATTAATAAGTTATAATCTTAATAATTCAAAAGATCTAATAAAAACTGATAACTTAAGTGGCGGCCCATTTTGCAAGTGAAAAACTGAATTTGTGCATTGGTTTGGCTTTACTTCAATTTGCTAACTGATTTTGGTAGTTCACATAAAAATGTCAAGATATGCAGTTTAGGTCTGAGGTACTCAGAAAATCTTTAGATCCTTTATTCAGGGATACTGGTTGAGCTGGTACAGATAATTATCCTGTTAAGCCAAGGATCCTGGATCCTTTTCTATCACTGATGTTAAAGGGAAACATGAATTTCAGCTACTACATTGTATAAACCATATTTTATTGAAACTAGATCAGTGTACCATGATTTCAGAGATAAAAATTTGTTATCTTAGAATTAAGTATAGTGTAACAGTTGGTTTCTAAATGTAGTTTTATTTCAGGGGCCATTATTGAACCTGTGGGTATGTTATGGTGTAATGTTGTAATTTCTGTACTTGTAAATTTAAAACAGTAATGATATTGAAAAAAATGGACAAATGTTTATATTTTTAGTTCCAAAGCAACTTCAACTTTGCCTCATATACAAATATTTTAATTTTCTTTCTTAAAATATCTGTAAACCACTAGTTTAATCCTCCAATCTGAATTTAGAAAGAAAACTGTCCTACTGATTAGGAAGTAAACAAGCAGCTAATTCATAAAAATATTCTCTTTGTGGGTATTGTTTTTTTTTTCCTTGTGAAGTAGACACGTAATTCCCTTGAGTATTGTTGGTAGGCATTCTGCCATCTTTTAGTGTCAGTTTAAAAGCAAGAGATCATACGGAAAAAACGTACCATGTAATTATGATGTATCATATCTATTGTGATTACATCGTGCACAGAGAATAGTTCTTATAATTCAAGTGATAAAAACTTGAAAAAAAATACCACCTTTTTCACATTGGAAACTTCCAAGTACCATTTTTTTTTTAGAGGAAAAGGTTTATATCTGAATTATATTAAAGTATAAAATAGTCCTGATGATTTTTTTTAAACATTTTGGAAATGTTTACTAAGTTCCTATAATCATTATTATTTTAGACAGGCTTGAAAACTTGAAATTGTAAAAGTTATAATTGAAATTAAATAAATAGTGAATAACTTTCAGAATTTGGTAGGATACAAGAGTGCCCCTTTGTCAAAATTTGTTTTGGCTTAATTTGCATATTAGGTAAAAATTGGATGTTTTTTGTGTATTCAAGTATGCATTAAATTCTTTCAATAGTAAAAAATCAAATTATAACCATAGTGAATATTTTTATTAATCTTGTCCTTGTTCAGTATCTTGCATAGATGTTTACTATAATTGTTCCAAATTGTGCAGTATGTAGACAACGTTGTGTGAAGTGTGTTTTGGATTTGTGCATTTAACTTTTTTGTGTAACTAGGGCTCTGAGTGACAGGTTTTTTTGCTAAAGAGAAACTATATTTAAATATTCAAATAATTATATATTTCCATGTAAAACTAATGTGAAGAGTAATGTATTTTTTATAATGCAATTTAAAGAGTAAGTTTGTTTTCAAAGTTATCAAGATAAAATTGATCAAAGAATTGAAATTTGCCTCTACTTTCTCTTCATGTTAGGAACTTTATCTGGGAATACTTAAGGAATCATAGATTAATGAAAACAGAAGTTCATTTTATAAATGGTCCTAGAGATAATAAATAGGGAAATATAAATGTTGATGCTGGTGAGAAAATAGTTTAACCAAAGATATGCAGGTTATGTTCAATGAAGTAGTTATTTCAAAGGATTAAAATTAAACAACTGTTTCTTTGGTGGAGTGGTGGGTTAGCAACTTTTTACTTTGTATACCTGTATTGGAAGAGTCAGTGAACAGGACTGAGTTCAGGAGGCAGTATCTATATCATTATTTGACACCTACTGGAAGAGAGAACTTTGGTGCCTCCAATACCATAGCGTATGTTTTAAAGAACGAGAAAACATGGAAGAGTGTATCTGTGTCAGTGAGGTCAGTGCCTTTGGCCTCAGCAGTATTGACTTCTAGAGTTTTTTGGTCCAGGATTATATTGTTAAGATGAACAACAGACTTCTCTTTATATAAAAAAGTTAATAGAGTAAAAATGTAAGATGGAAGCTCATTTTCAATAAAGGACTTTTATGTATAGAAAAAAATGTGGAAATATGTGAAAAATCATGTAATTAGGAAATTACACATCAAAATGTCAACGTAAGAAGATTACAGGCTGAGGAGGAGTCTCAACATTTCCTTATACTTCATTGAGACCGTAAATAGTAGGGAAGTAACAGTATATTTAATGTTTCCTTTGTTCTTCTTATACTTGATTGTACAATACATATTTAAAAATTTCTCCCAAAGTATTTTAAATTATTTACCTTGACTAAGGAGTTGTCTAGGATGAACTATAGTTTGCTGCTGAATCTTTGAAGCATGAACTTTCACTTTTCTCTATGTTTATAATTTATTACATGCATGTTGCTTTTTTCATGCATTTTATTTTCTGAATTTTTAAGCTGGACATGTATGTGTACATGTTGAGCCCTCACTAAGTACCAGGCATTGTTCTAGACTTTTAACCTGTATTATCTCATTTGATTTTCAAAGAGCCCGTTTGAGTTAGGCACTATAGTTGTGACTAAATAGTGGATGAGAAAATTAAGGCATAGAGCCTCAATTTTGGGATTACAAATGAATGTTGACTGTAATCAAATGGGGACTACAGATAATCCCCATTCCCATCCCCAGTCCCAGGCCACCCCTAATCTACTGTCTGTCTTTATAGTTTAGCTTTTTCTGGACATTTCATATAAATGGCATCATACAATATGTTGTCTTTTGTGTCTGACTTTTTTCATTTCCCAAAATGTTTTGGAGGGTCATTCATGTAGCATGTATCAGTATTTTCTTCTTTTTTAAATTGCTGAATAGTACTTATAATTAGTTTTTAATGAAGCTGGTAACAGAACACTGGTCTTCTGATGACAAATATGATAAAAACTGTTAGGTTTGAGGCTAGATGTTCCTTTATGCCTCTCATACCTGTTATCCTCGATCACTACCCCAAATCCACGACCACCTGGATATCTGCCTTTGTGAGTGCTCTTATTGCATACTTGAATGCTTTATGCTTCCTCTGTCTTTGACTCTTATTTCCTTTAGTGACCATCTTGGCATTCTTTTCACTGTGCTTTGTGAATTTTCATTTTCAGTGTCAACACATTACTCTGTGTTCCCAATCCTTTCATTTTGAATTGCTTGCAAGTGATCAAACTGAGATTCATATTCAAGTTGCCTATTATTCTAACCTACATGAGCAGTAAAGCCAGGAATTGTTGATGATGTACAGGTCATAGTGAAAGTTCTGGTTTAAAATTACTGTACTACATAACCACAGTGTACATCATCAAAATCAGGAAATCAATATTGATATAATACAACCCTCTACTCCACAGGCCTTGTTTGGATTTTACAGATTGTTCCAAAATATTCTCTATAGGTCCAGGATTAAATTCAGGATCACATACTGTCGTGATTCTAGTTTCCTTCAGTATGGAGCCGTTCCTCAGCCTTTATTTTTTATAACTTGACATTTTGAAGTGTACAAACAAGTTTCTTTGTGGAATGTCCCTCAGTTTGAGTTTGTGTGATGTTTCTTCATAATGCTTTTCTTTGCGGGGGCAGGGCAGAAATTCTGTGGACTTCTCAGTGTATCATAACAGAAGCCATGTGATGTCAATTTGAATAAATGTGGTGATTGAAGATATCCAGTTTTTGTTCATGCTTTAGACTAAAAGCTTTTAATAATCTGAAATGGGGGCTCTTATAGAGGGTAAGATGAGTTATCAACAAATAGTTACATTTTTTCATAACCGAGCTTTGAGGCAATTGTAACTGTGAATATTTTATCTGTTATGTTTATCATCTACCCGATCATAGATAAGACAGTTACTTATTCATACATTTAACAAATATTACTTAGACCCCTACTATGTGCCTTGCCCTATGGTGGGTGCCGAGGATCCAAACATCAATCAAACAGGTCTCTAGTTGCTAACTTTCATTACTGATATGAGTGAAAGACAATTTCAATAGTGGTAAGTCTGGAATTACAACATAATTCTTAGGCTTTCAAAAGATCATTAAAAAACCTGTATCGATAACACAAGATACTGCTGTTTGGCATTGAAAAATTCCTCAACTTTCTACATCGAGGCCCATTGCAAGGCATTTCTCATGATTACCTGGAAAGATTGTTTTCCTGTGTTTGCATTATTATGAACAGTCTGTCCTGTGTTGGTTTGACGCACCAGGATGAAGTGTTATATAGACTCAGTTACCCATCTTAATCACAGCACAAAAATGACTTCCTAAGGGAAAGTTGATATCTTCATCAGATGCTTATTTAAAAAAATTTTTTTTAAAGTTAATTGAAGTATAGGTGGTTTATAATATTATGTTAATATACAGCATAGTGATTTAGTATTTTTGCAGATTACATTCCATTATAGGTCATACAAGATAATGGGTATAATTCCCTGTGTTATATAGTACATCCCTGTGGCCTTTTTTTTTTTTTTTTTTTTTTTTTTTTTTTGTGGTACGCGGGCCTCTCACTGTTGTGTGGCCTTTCCCGTTGCGGAGCACAGGCTCCGGACGCGCAGGCTCAGCGGCCATGGCTCGCGGGCCTAGCCGCTCTGCGGCATGTGGGATCTTCCCGGACCGGGGCACGAACCCGCGTCCCCTGCATCGCCAGGTGGACTCTCAACCACTGCGCCACCAGGGGAGCCCCTATCTATTTTATATATAGCAGTTTGTATTTGTTAATCCCATACCTCTAATTTATCCCTCCCCACTTGCCTCTCCCCTTTGGTAACCACAAGCTTGTTTTTATATCTGTGAGTCTGTTTCTGTTTGGATACATATATCTGTATTATTTTTTAGATTCCACATATGTGATATCATACAGTATTTGTCTTTCTCTGTCTGACTTATTTCACTAAACATAATGTTCTCTAGGTTCATCTGTGTTGCTGCAAATGACAGTATTTCATTCTTTTTAATGGTTGAGTAATATTCCATTGTATATATCTACCACTTAAAAAATTATTTTTTGGCTGCATTGGGTCTTTATTGCTGCGCATGGTCTTTTTTTAGTTGTGGTGAGTGGGGGCTACCCTTCGTTGCAGTGCGCAGTTCTCTTCTAATTGTGGTGGCTTCTCTTGTTGTGGAGCATGGGCTCTAGGTGCGCGGGCTCAATAGTTGTGGTGCACGGGCTTAGTTGCTCCATGGCGTGTGGGATCTTCCCGGACCAGGGCTGGAACCCATAGGCCCTTGCATTGGCAGGCGGATTCTTAACCACTGCGCCACCAGGGAAGCCTTATACCACATCTTATTTATCCATTCATCTATTGATGGACGTTTAGGTTGCTTCTCTGTCTTGGCTGTTGTAAATAGTGCTGCTATGAAGATTGAGGTGCACATACCTCTTCGAATTAGTGTTTTCATTTTCTTCAGATATATGCCCAGGATTGGAATTGCTATATCATATGATAGTTCTGTTTTTAGTTTTTTGAGGGAACTCTGTACTGTTTTCCATAGTGGCTGCACCAATTTATATTCCCACCAACAGTGTACAAGGGTTCCCTTTTCTCCACATCTTCTCCAACATTTATTATTTGTAGATGTTTTGGCGATAGCCATTTTGACAGGTGTGAGGTAATTCTCATTGTGGTTTTGATTTGCACATCTCTAATAATTAGTGATGTTGAGCATCTTTTCATGTGCATTATATGTCTTCTTTGGAGAAATATCTATTCATGCCATCTGCCCATTTTCTGATTGGGTTGCTTGCTTTTTTGATATTGAGTTGTATGAGCTATTTATATATTTTGGGCGTCAACCCCTTATCGGTTGCATTTGCAAATATTTTCTCCCATTCAGGAGGTTGTCTTCATTTTGTTAATGGTTTCCTTTGCTGTGCAAAAGCTTTTAAGTTTTTTTTTTAAATGTATTTATTTATTTTTTGCCTGCATTGGGTTTTTGTTGCTGCAAACGGGCTTTCTCTAGTTGTGGAGAGTGGGGGCTACTCTTCGTTGTGGTGCACAGGTTTCTCATTGTGGTGGCTTCTCTTGTTGTGGAGCATGGGCTCTAGGCGTGCGGGTTTCAGCAGTTGTGGCACATGGGCTCAGTAGTTGTGGTGCATGGGCTTAGTTACTCTGCATCGTGTGGGATCTTCCCGGACCAGGGATCGAACCCATGTCCCCTACATTGGCAGGTGGATTCTTAACCACTGAACCACCAGGGAAGTCCCAGCTTTTGAGTTTAATTAGGTCCCATTTGTTTATTTTTGCTTTTTTTTTTTTTTTTTTTTGCCTTAGGAGACAGAATCAAGAAAATATTGCTACGATTTTGCCACAGAGTGTCCCACCTGTGTTCTTTTCTAGGAATTTTATGTTTTCAAGTTGTATATTTAGGTCTTTAAACCATTTTGAGTTTATTTTTATATATGGTGTGAGAGAGTGTTCTAATCTCACTGTTTTACATGTGGCTGCTCAGTTTTCCCAGCACCACTTGTTGAAGATACCCTCTTTTCTCCATTGTATATTCTTGCTTCCTTTGTTGTAGATTGATTGGCCATAGGTACATGGGGTTATTTCTGGCTCCCTATTTTGTTCCATTCATCTATTGCATCTGTTTTTGTGCCAATACCATGCTGTTTTGATTACTGTAGCTTTGTAGTATAGTGAAGTCTGGGAAGGTTATACCTCCAGCTCTGTTCTCCTTTCTCAAGATTGTTCTGGCTATTTGGGGTCTTTTGTGTTTCTATACTAACGTTATTTGTTCTAGTTCTGTGAGAATGCCATTGGTCTTTGGATATGGATTGCATTGAATCTGTAGATTGCCTTGGGTGTTATGATCGTTTTAATAACACTATCTCTTCCAATCCAAGAACACAGTATATTTTTCCGTCTGTTTTTTTTTTCAGAATAGAGGTCTTTTACCTCCTTTGGTAGGTTTATTCCTAGGTATTTTATTCTTTTTGATGCAGTTGTAAATGGGGTTGTTTCCTTAATTTCTCTTTCTGATAGTTTGTTGTTAGTGTATAGAACTGCAACAGATTTCTATACGTTAATCTTGTATCCTGCAACTTTACTAATTCACAGATGAGCTTCAGTAGTTTTTTGATTGCATCTTTAGAATTTTCTATGTATAGTATCACGTCATCTGCAAACAGTGATGGTTTTACTTCTTCCTTTCCATTTTGGACTCCTTTTATTTCTTTTTATTCTCTGATTGCTGTGGCTAGGACTTCCACTACTATGTTGAATAAAAGTGGTGAGAGTGGGCATCCTTGTCTTGTTCCTCATCTTAGAGGAAATGCTTTCAGCTTTTCACCATTGAGTATGATATTAGCTGTGGGCTTGTCACATATGGCCTTTAATATGTTGAGGTATATTCCTGCTATACCCACGTTGTGGAGAGTGTTTAGCATAAATGAATGTTGAATTTTGTCAAAAGCTTTTTCTGCATCTACTGAGATGATCATATGGTTTTTATTCTTCAGTTTGTTAATGTGATATATATATATCACATTGATTGATTTGAGAATATTGAACCATCCTTGCATCCCTGGGATAAATCCCATTTTATCATGGTGTATGATCCTTTTAATGCATTGTTGGATTCAATTTGCTAATATTTTGTTGAGGACTTTTGTGTCTGTGTTCATCAGTGATATTGGCCTGTCATTTTCTTTTTTTTGTAATATCTTTGTTTGGCTTTGGTATCAGAGTGATACTGATCTCATAGAATGTGTTTAGAAATATTCCTTCCTCTGCAATTTTTTGGAGTAGTGTGAGAAGGATAGGTGTTAACTGTTCTCTAAATGTTTGGTAGAATTTACCTGTGAAGCTGTCTAGTTTGGACTTCTGTTTGTTGGGAGTTTTTAAATTACTGATTCAATTTCGTTACTGGTAATTGGTCTATTCATATTTTCTATTTCTTTCTGGTTCAGTCTTGGGAGATTTACATTTCTAGGAATTTGTCCATTTCTTCTTGGTTTTCAATTTTATGGGCATATAGTTGTTTGTAGTAACCTCTTATGATCTTTTGTATTTATGTGGTGTCATTTGTAACTTCTCTTTTTTTTTATTTCTGATTTTATTGATTTGGGCCTTCTCTCTTTTCTTCTTGATGAGGCTGGCTAAAGTTTTATCAATTTTGTTTATCTTTTCAAAGAACTATCTCTTAGTTTCATTGAACTTTTCTAATAATGTTTTAGGCTCTATTTCACTTATTTTTCCTCTGATATTTATGATTTCTTTCCTTCTACTAACTTTGAGTTTTGTTTGTTCTTCTTTTTCTAGTTCTTTTAGGTGTAAATGTAAGTTGTTTGAGATTCTTCTTGTTTCCTGAGGTAGGCTTTATTGCTATAAACCTCCCTCTTAGAACTGCTTGTTTCTGTTATTTTTTTTTGTCCTGACTTTGAGTTTAATCTGTGGAAAATGCCCATACTCAGGGCATTTGTCAAAAACAACCAGTACAATTGTGTAACATCACAAAGCTATGGTACCAGTTGGGGGCAAACAAGAGCTTGGTCAAAACTTAAAAGGCAGATCTGGGGAATGAGGTGTCCACAGGGGTTTTGAAAAACTCTGATATATTCTTGGGGGTCTAAAAGTCTCTACAAATGTGAAAGGCTGTGTGCATGCCTGGGAAAGACTCAAGAGGGCCCCAGTCTCTCACCT